AATTATTGCTGTTCTTGACACAATGGCCTGAAGAGCAGAAATCATTTCAGTTTGTTTGTGTGTGTGTGTGTGTGTGTGTAAGGGTAAATACACAGAAGCCCTTGTGTGTGTGTGTGTGTGTGTGTGTGTGTGTGTGTGTGTCTAGGCATATGTATGTAGCCAGGTAGCCTTAGCTCTGCCCACTGGACTGCAACTGGTTGGCTGATAAATTTGAAGTGTGACTTTTATTTTTGAAAACAATTTGCCTCAATAAGGTAAGAAAGTGCTTTGAGAAATATGTAAATAACTATATATATTCAATAAACACTGGAGAGATTCATGTTTCCGTAAAACACTCCTTGCAAAGTTCTGTCTCTGCACATGCATTACATATCACGCGTCAGACAAGAGGTCAAGAAGTTTTAAACTGTATGCTTTTGAGTTAGTTAATTTAAAGCAAATCTCACTTGGATTTTGTTGTTTCACTATATATATATATATATATATATATATATATGGTGACTGTGATTTCACCAAGTACAACATGTTCCTGGATCAACATTCCAATCAACCAATCAGAATTGAGGGATAACTTTTCAAGAAATGTCTGTTTTAGGCTTACGATCAGGGTTAGGTGCTTCTACACCCTTGTTAATCAGCTATCATTTCACACTGATTTTAGGAATAAATTATGGATAGGGTATATATATATATATATATATATACGGTATATATAGGGTTTAGGGTTAGGTAAGTTTCCTTACTGTTAGACTGTTTGTAGTGATCATGTTTTTAATTAAATACCTCCCTCTAGTGGACACAGGCTACACTAACATAAAAAAACTGGATATTACAACTATAAAATAAATCAGTGCATTAAGATCTAGCTGATTCTTCAGTGAGACTCTTGCTGGTATTGGCTATAAATATGGAGCGATTCTTCATGAACGCTGGTAACATGGGTTCCTGGCTTCACATGCACATTCTGGGGTTGCAGGGGGACCCTATCCTTTAGTTCAGATTAGAAGGGTTAGCATTAGGGACCCCCAGGGGAACCTCTTTAAGCTGGAAGAAGGGTAACTCCTGCAAGGTGGGAGTGGCACCTTAGAGGCGCCTTAGATAGTAACGAAAGTTTTTTTTTTTACTGTTTCCAAAAATAGACTCACCTCATCTACACTCTTCGTACTTCACATTATACATGTCACCAGTGGTGTGCACAGACCTACGGAGGGGCAGGGGAGAAGTGGCATGACGAGGCCATAATCGTGCGTCCCCCTCGGTAGAAATCGGGACTGAAAAGGCACTTTAGTGTTGGTGATTAAAGGGGCAGGGGCTCGAAATCCCCTGGAGGTGTACATAGTTAATTATTCTAACAACGTAACATTAGTGATTGGGAGTCGACTCTGAAAGTCTTTTCTTTTTGTAAGTCGTGCATTTATTATGTGTGACGTCACGAGGCACCATTTTGAAGGTATCATTGCATTGCAGTGAACTGAAAGTATATAGAGAGGTATGGTAAAGACCAATTAAATTGTCAAATTGGAGAAACAGAAGCACACCAAGTAGATACAATACCGAGATAATCTCAGCAAAGATTTCAGGAACCGTAACATATAAATTGTCATAGATTACCAACACTGATCCATACAAACTGACCGCAAATATTTGAGTGCTGCCCGCATTGTTGCCTCCAACCTCGTACTAGATATTACTGTCTTGCTTACGGTATATAAACGTATATTATTTACTTATACATGATGTTGTTCTTGTCTACCATTGATTTGCACACATAATTAGCACAATTGTGAGTAATTACGTCATGTGAGTCTCCATTTAAACATTACCCCGTTTGTTCAACATTTGGTTTCCGTGCTTCATTAGGCTGTCAAAGTGCTGATAAGGAGACAATCAAAAACACATTTTCATAAATGAAAATGCCATTGTACATACAGTGTTATTAATGCAACACTGGGTTAAAAATCAGTTTTAAAATGCATAACAGAAGATGTGACATGCATGCTAAACCATCAACATGTTGGTTTCTCAAGTTGACAGTGTAAGTACAAATAAGAAAGTTGAATAAAAAAAAGATTTTATGCTTCTGACAAAAGATTTCTGATGACCCTTTCTACATGGATTCTTAGATGTGCTAGATGATCTGTCAAATACTTAATAGTGTAATGGTTCTTGTAGATAGAAGACATTTAGCCACACATTTTTAGACTGAATGGTTTCTATGTGAAAATCTCAAAACAGTCCATTTTCACTGCTACTTTGTGCCTATCACAGTTGTCTAAAATAGTTTTGTGCAGGTGGATCCAATCTAAGGTACATAAGGTTAACAGAAGTATTTACTTGATTTGCCCATTTAGGTATTAGGGTCGGTACTAAGTGGACCTCGAGGGCCAGAGTTGAGAACCTCTGCAATAAACTTTATGATCATCATCACCAAAAAACTACCAGACATTGTGTACTCACTGAGTTTACGCCACAGCAGTCCATTTTCTTCTGGGTACACATAAATTACATTCAGGGGGGGAAAACGTTTTGCTCATCTGTGGAAAGTTTAAGTTCTCAGGAGATTCAAAGTCCTGCCGCCTCCGATTATTTTAATGGTGAGTCCAGACATTGTGTACTCACTGAGTTTACGCCACAGCAGTCCATTTTCTTCTGGGTACACATAAATTACATTCAGGGGGGAAAAACGTTTTGCTCATCTGCGCATGCGATCTCAAAATCAAATTTTGGCGGTAACAAGTGTAATCATGCTATCACGCAACTAAGTGTCTTCATGAGTGGAAAGTTTAAGTTCTCAGGAGATTCAAAGTCCTGCCGCCTCCGATTATTTTAATGGTGAGGAGTATTATTGTTGCTATGTATTGTTTTATATTATTATTGTGTTAGTGGTTAAGCTTTTGTGACTCATGTTTAGGACAGGCCCGGTTCTAGATCACTGAGGATGCTCTGGCCTTAATGCACAAGTATTTTCACAGCCTATATTTTTGAGAGTGAACTTTACAGCTTTCCAAACTCTGCAGTGTGTACGCGGTCCCTGGTGCTCATGGAGGCATGAAAAACAAAACTTTTATTCAGATTTTGAATTATGTATGGCATAGAAGTGCACACCCTTTATAACCACTAAAAGGCTCTCAGTTCATCGCGGGCTCATTAAGTTCCTCTATAATAAAAGAAGTTGACACTGGACAATAATCTGTGTATCATTCGATCATTCGTTTTTTGATTTAATATTGAAAGTAGAAAAATTAGAAAACGGCTCCTTTTTAGTTTTTTTCCAAAAAGTTTTTTACAACTGCAGCAGCGGAGGACTATTATTCTGCTGCATGATACTGCAGAAGAACTGATGATGGCGCGGTTTGATATTCGGCTGACCAATCAGCAGAAAGGGGCGTTTAATTCCCGCCCACATGTAGAAATCAAATATTCAAGCTGTTTATTAATTTTTCCACCCATGAACGAAAAACGAAAATTTAAGCTGAATTCCCGTTTTTCGGGAAAAAACGAAAAAGGAGCCCTTTTCTCGTTTTCTACTTTCAATATTAAATCAAAAACCGAATGATCGAATGATACACAGATTCACAATTAATCTCTAATTTCTATTCTTTGTTAAAATGGGATTGTTCGCGAGCACTGAAACAAAACTCCGGCGTTTTGAGTGGATTCAATACTTTGATTGGCCATTGCGTTCAAGAAATCAACAGAGATGTCTGTGATTGGCTACACTGCTCAGCGCTGCAAAGCACGATGTAGCAAAAAGCAAATAACTGGAGGGTTTGCCAGATGTGTTTCGCCATTACAGCTCTTTTCATTATATAGTTGCAGCTTATATGTAATATATATTTCTTTGTTTTTGTGACATTACCAAAGTAAATGAAGTAAATGATCACCTATTTCTGTCATAGTTTTTGATCCCAATGAAAAGTTTAGCTGCAAAAATTCTTAATAATATGTAAACGTATAATTTAGATAGTCCCACAGTTTGGCCATAAGGCAGTTATTGTATTCACAGTACCTCAAGATAGCGCTGTAACACTGCTCTCAATCTCAATCTCAATCACTGTAACAAATCTCTCCCTCTCTCAGTGAGCTGTCAGGATTGATCTTTCAGGAGCCAGAACACCGTCACTAGATAAAGAGTCTTCCTGCCTGTATAAGCACAGAATTATTCATATGGATCCAATTTTTGTTTTACTCACTATATTTGTGCTTCTGGGAAAACTCAAGCATTTTGTTTTTTCATTCAGATTTACTTTAAAGTCACATAATGTGTTCTGCTTCTGGAAGTAGTGAATGAATACTAACTGTACGACATGCATTACTGAAAATTCATTTCAGTCTTTCCCATGATACAGGAAACTTGTCTCCATAGAGAAGAGCTCAAAGGAAAAGTCTATTTGAAGTGCAGCGTCAACACACACATACACACAATGGACCTGTGGTATACTGTAACAAAGGGCTTTCTGAAAAGACTGCGCTAACACTGCACGGTCAGGTCTGTACACACTGATTCAGACCACTGTGTGAACAACAACACAGCTAGCTGGACTTGATAATAGTTTAGCAAGTGTGTTCAGAAAACCTAAATTTAATTCTGTCAGATATGGATGTGCATTCACACAAACACACACAGAACATACTGTATATAGCCATACACTGACTGATTATTAACCCATAATTCTTGTCCGATACTATCTCACTTTTTGTTAAATTTTTAGTTTTCCTTTCAAATATTCTCAAATCAAATCTTCCAATTTAAGAGGTCGACAGTATCTTTTCCCAACAAGTATTTTAATGACAAATATTTATAGCAATTATCAAATATTTAATGCTCCAAACTGAGTTGTAAGACAATTGTGTAGCTTCTGATTTTACGTTCCTCAAAATATTTACAATTGTTTGTTTTGCTGTTAATGACATTGCAGCTCTCATGAATAGCGCACTGACTTACAATTTAGATCATAATAAAAGCACCATGCCACATTCAGAAATATTTAAGGCAATACTAAACACAAGGGGGAGGGGGTTTAACAAAGTAACACTTTAGATCGTTTTCATAGTAGTTAATTAACAAGAGATTACAATATGACTGAATTATGTTTCAGAAAAACGTACAAAAGTCTAAACTGCAACACTTAATTTGTGCAAAATAACACCGCTTGTGGATGATCAGGGGTTTTATATACACAGACCAATGACGAGTTGTGTTCAAAAGGGGGTGTAGTCTGTATAATTACTACTACGCTCATAAATCAAGCTCATAGAAGTGTAATATAGACGTATATCACTGAAAGCAAACACAAATTAATTTTGCTAATATGAAATGCTCAAACACTAAAACAAGGAGGTATAAACAGCTTTGCATTGCACATAATTCCCATATCCCACGATCTCTGGCTTCTGGAAGTGCGTGTGACACTGCAAAAATATCAAGCAAATATATGATGTTTTTTTGTCCTGATGTTGAGAGATGGCAAACCTCAGTCCAGATCATCACGAACATCTGATCTAGAACTAATGATGTCATGGTTCCTGTGGAGCATTATGATGTCATTTAATGTGTTGATGAGGTGATGTGGTCGGCAATGGCATGGTAACCATATCCCAGGAGTTTAGAATTACCATACATTTCTTGGCAGGAAATCCAGAATCTTCTCATTTCAGCATCAAAGCTTGGTGTGATTTCAAGCCATTGGAACATTCCTCAATCTATTGGGTTTCAAACTGGAAAATTACTCTAATTGAGGAAAATTGCCTATTTTACAGGTTCAGACAGTAGCTGTCTCTTAATGGTATAAAGTATACAGTCACATAGATATGCTTTCATTATCACACTTGCAACAAAAAAAAAATTAATTCCACACTCACCATTGAGGTCTCTTCAACCTAGAAGTGCTTTCATTAGAAAAGACAGAAAGAAAGAAAGAAAGAAAAAGAATGAAGACCTGAAATAATGGCAATTTAAGACCTATTAACTCGCCACTATTTTGATGGGCACACACATTTTTTTTTAATTAGTGGGGGGTTTTTTTCAGTAAAAGTATCTAATCATCATTAAAACAAGATCAATTATAATAATAATAAACTGACAGCTCATTTTGTATTGTTTTAAGCATAAACCTCATACATTTGTATGCTTAAAACACAAAAAAATGTGCAATGATGTAAGAAAATAATTTAAGATAATTCTTTGAAATCAAGTCTTAATGTTATTTTTAAATGTTTTTTTTTCTCTCTTTAATTTATTAATTGGCTCTAAAAATTTTAAATCTAAATTTACATTTATTTTAAGAATGTTTAGATATTTTTACTGGACAACAACAATACCGGTTCGTTTTTTGTTTAGTTTTTTGCAGTATTTGCAAAGTTACAATTTTGTGACGACTATGTTTAATGACAGACAATACATAATTCTCTTTGCCATTTAAGACTAAGTGTTATGAAAATGTTTTAAACCATTATCTAAAACTAATCTATTTAGCTCTAAGTCTTCTTACTCTAAAAGTGTGCTGCTTTTTTCTGCCCGCATAGTCAGAATGTCTGTTACAGGTTGATTTTTCTGGGTCCTACTTGCCAATGACCTTCCTGATCCAGGGCACGAAGGCTGAGACTTTTGTGTAGACGCCGGGCGCGTCTTGCAGTCGACACGCGTGACCCCATGATGTGACCCCATATACAACCCAACTTCCGCTAGGTCTCTCGCACACCAACGGACCACCGCTATCTCCACGGCAACTGTCCACGCGGTGGTTGTCGTTGGAGGAGCCGGCGCACAGCATGCGACTGGTGAACTGGTCAGAATAGCGCTGCTCACACTGACGCTTGCTCAACATGGAAATCGAGGCCTGCTGGAGAGTTCTTGAATATGCACGACCTGCGACAAGAAAAAATCCAACAGGTCAGAACATCCTCCAGTCTTTTTATTTGAAGTCTGGAGTTAATCAGACTTAACTGTTCACTTATGCAATGGAGTGTGTAGTCGCTTTTCTGTCAGCATCATCACACACTTCATTCATCCCACTTTAGAATATTTACTGAGAGAAAACACAGGTGATTTAAAACACAACGTGACCATTAGAATGAAATCAACATGTCGCATGATAATCTGTAGATGCTTAAAACTGACATTATAATTGCACCCTGTATGGTTCCTTGATGACTTCCTCATGTTCTCTGATTACAGCGCTGTATGGCTGTTACTACTGTCATGTATGTCCTTTTTGATGAGACTAGACAGCTGGACAGATGTGGCCGTAGTCTTCTGTGTGTATATCCTTGTGAAAAAGAAATGTGCCTAATTGTACTGAATGTGTACTTCAAATCTAAGAAGTACAGGTAGCGATTTATTTTACAGTCCTGTTCTGCATGTACATACTATGTACTTATTATAGTAATTAGAATAACTGGGTAGTAACTAGGCATTAGCCCTGAACCTACCCCTAAACCTAATCTTAACCTATGTAGTTACCTTATATTATCCAGTTCTTTCTTAGGTAAGTACACTGTAAGTACATGTAAGTGCAAATACTGTCAAATAAAGTGCAACCATAGTATGTATATTGTTAAAAAAAACTGTACTTTCATATAATATAATACAAATAAAATAAAAGGCCATTTTAAGTGTACTTGGCGAACACTTTCATGACACTTTCTTAAGAGACTTAAGTACACTTTTAAGATGTACACATTTCAATAATGTCAAATTAAAGCTTTTACTTTTAAGTACATTTTAAATATTTATTTTTACATTTTTTTAATGCATTAAAATACACTGGTGCACACATCTAACTAAAGCACATGTAAAGTACTTAATTAAATTATATTTTTTATTATTATGTTATATAAAGTTAATATATGTAAATGTTCTAAATTGCAAATGTACAACTGCAAATTTATTTAAATACATGACGTTTCACTTACATGTATATTGTTTACCATAAAACTTATCTGTGCATTCAACAGTACACTTAAACCATATTTCAAAGAGAAAAGAATTATGAAACGACATATGAAGATGCACTACATAAGTGGATCAGAAAGCACAGATAATTCAAGTTCAGCTAATTACATTTAATATAAACTTAAACTATAATATAATTTTCTTTATCTGCAGTTAAGTGCCCAAAACATTACTTTCAGTGTACACTTGTGTACATTCTTTGAGAGTATATTATTTCTGTAATAAGACCTCTTTAAAAGTATGCTAAAGTGTACTACTTTTACACAAGGGTATATCTTATTTAGATTATAATAATGTTAAAATATGGCAATAAAAATGTTTATAGAATTATGTTTGTAAATACTGTATACGCAATTGACATTAGCTGCTAATATTTTTATTATCTCTCTCTCTCTCTCTCACTGGACATCTAGTTGAAGAAATGCACAAATGACATAATTTCACAGCTCCATAATCCCACAGAACACTAATGAAGATGTTAAAATGGCACTCACGCCATTTGCTCATACATAAACCAGTGCTTACAAACACCCTTAAGCAAATGCACAACCTTATTTGCAAATACGGCCAGAGATACAAATAATTACTAAATGTCTGAGATGGATGATGCCTGACTGTTGCAGAAAAACAGATGTTTTACAGAAAAAATTATCTACATGTTCAGCAAACAGAAAATCAGAAACGCAAAAGCTGTTTTATCTCGTATTAAGCAGTTTCCTACCAATGCTGACAAATGTTTAATCGTTTAAAAATGCCATACTTGTTGCCTAAATACAGATGTGTATTGTTCAGGTTCAAGTGAAATTTGTTTTTCCATTCAAAACAGTGAACTTTGCACTTTAAACAACTTTGTAATAACACATTAGTTATCCTTTGTTACGTCAGAACAAACACTTTGTTGTAAAATGAATAATTCAGAATCTAAATTCTGAATAGATGAGGTACGTGCAAGAACACACAAGATCTTAAAGGAATAGTTCATTGAAAAATGAACATTTTGTTTTCGACCCCACTGATTTTCATTTTATGGACGACAGCAGTTGGTACATTTTTTCAAAGTATCTTCTTATGTGTGCCACAAGGCCTTGTGTGGGGGAAAAGTGCACTTTTAATTGTATTCAATTTGATTAAATGTGCCCTTTCTAGTGTACTTCAAATCTTTAAAGACACTACCTGCAGATAATATAAGGATGAAATAAAAGCCCACTAAAGTGTACATGAAGATTACACTTTCATGACTGCTTCTAAACTCACTTAAGTACACAAAGGTGCACTTTGTAATAATGTCAAATTAAACATTCAATATTACATTTAAAGTAAATATTAAAATAGTATTTTAATATACTAAATTACAATTTCATCAATTTCAATTTTCCATAAAAGTTGCATTATTTAAAATATATTTTAGTTTACCATAAATGCTTGTTAGTACGTTCACTTTAACCATATTCAAAGACAACAGAAGTAATTATAAAATTACATGTAAAGATGTACTTTAGTGCTACATAAGTGAATCAAAAAAACACTCTAAAGTTCAGCTAATTGTATTTAATATAAATTAATTTAATGCATTTTCATATGCAATTAAGTGGTGTCCAAAAACATTACATGCAGTTTGCACTTATTGGGCCTCATTCATCAAACACGAGCAGAACTCATTTTTGTGTAAATCGTTCGTAAAGCCGTTCTGACGTAAACTTTCGAATTCATGAAAATGTTCGTATTTTCAAAATGTTAGTTGATACGAAAGAAATGTACACCTGCTCCCTACCACGTGTAAATGGTGGGTAAAACGTTCTGTTCTTTTTGGCAAACTGATGACACTGAATTTTGATGCACTGCCATAATAATTACAAGTTAATTTGCCCTTGCCCTCTTTTTTATTTTTAAATTTTTAATTAATTACTTATTTTTTTGCAGCTAACTTGATCATTGTAAAACGCAGCGCTCGTCACGGACACTATTTACCCAGCCGTAAATAGAGGAGGGGCGGGACAAATACCTAACCATCCTACTTGTACAACGACTGCCTACAACGATGGAGAAGTCAATATTACTGGTTACTGCTTTATTATATTTAGTAAAATTCTTAAAAATGAGATACTAGTAGGCTAATACGTTGCCGCCGTTAATATTCCATACCATAGCAACTAAAGCGTCCCAGCTGGAAAAACACTGCCACCAAAGCGTTCTCAAGCGCCACCAGCTGGTCGTTTTAAGAAGAGTGCCTGACATTTTTTCAGCTGGCTAAAAACTCTTTGGTGGTCACTCATTATTTAATATTTATTGTTAGGCATATGGCCTAGTCTTTTTTGCATTTATGCAATATACTGGAGTCAAGCCTGAGAAAGTAGACCAGAATATACCACTGCGTTCCTGAACACGCAATTTGCGTAGCTGTCATTTATAGGTGGGGATTATGCTAATTGTGAATGAGCGTGCACGAGTGCCCTATTACGAATGATTGGAATTCATTAACATACAAATGTTTAACTATCAAATCGGACATTTACGAAGAGTTTGTGAATCCGGAGGAGTTTTCGGGAAGGTCTGTTTTACGCGCAAATTACTCCGAATTTACTCATATATTTACGCAAGTTTCATGAATGAGGCCCATTGTGAGTATATTCTTTTAATGTATATTATTTCTGTAATTAGCACTTTTTTTTTAAATTATGCTGAATTATGCTGATGCTCATTTTCGTGAGCACTTATAAATAAGGGCAATTCCCACTGAATTGTTTTTCTTTACACTTCTGCTTTTGTACTACTTTTGAAATTCAGTACTGCTGAAACTGATCGTGCTTTTCCTCATTTGTACATCTATTGGGTAAAAGCATCTGTTAAAGGGGTCATCGGATGCCCATTTTCCACAAGTTGATATGATTCTTTAGGGTCTTAATGGAAAGTCTGTAACATAGTTTGGTTAAAATTTCTCAATGGTAGTGTAAAAAACACTTTTTACCCTGTCAAAAACAGCTCTTTTCAGAGCGCGCAGTTTTGTAGCATTTTCCTTTAAATGTTAATGAGCTATGCTGACCCCGCCCCTCGCTTCCGAGCCGCTCTCTGAGGGACTGTTTACTTTAGCTGCATTCATCGTGAAACTTGCTAATTAGCACATTATTAGGAAAGGCAATTTGCAAAGATTCTTTAAAAAACCTTATACTCACTTCTTCTGTAGATGAGGCTGGATCATGAATAATTCACGCGAACATAGATGCATTTATGTAGATCGGGGGCGCATTCCCTTCAGAAACAATGTAATCCACTGCGAGTTCAGCGGCTCAGATGTCGGGAGTAAATGACGACTGCTATGTTCATTATTACACCCATCAACAGAACTCCTCAATCGCTTAGGAGTCATTCTTGTCTACATCTGCTCCGGCGGTGAAAGAATGGCGGACAGCTCACTCAGGGCGGGTCTAAGGTAAGACGCCAGTTCAATCTGTGCTGAAATGCTACTGTCAATCAAACTATTGTGGGAGGGGCCTGTTTTTGTGATGTCACACAGACAGGCATCTGAGATCGGCTCGATTTGAGAAAGGGGTAAAGATTTGAGTAGATGATAAAAATCCACCCAGTGTTTCTTTTTAATTACAGGGTGGCTGTGTACACACACTGCCAACACACATTTCAGTTCAAGCAACTTGTAAAAGTGCATGTAGCATCCTATGACCCCTTTAAATTATTAAACTGAAAATGTCATCACACCATTTGACCAAAATCTTTAAATGGCATGTCCTATTTGCCTGTCTGTGGGTGAGAGTGACGCAGTGAGAGAGTGATTGTTTCAGACAGAACACAGAACGAAGGTTCTGATATCTTACAGTGTGATTTATCACTGTCAGTTCTGCTTTCACACTGTCTGATCACATCTTATGCCTGTCAGCCTGCGCTATTCAGTGGAGCCAAAAACACCATTTCACACACCGCTTCAGTTCTTGCTCTAAATATGCTCAAAGCATCCTTCATTTCAAGAATGACCGGCAGTCTTAAATTGTAAACGGTCTTAAATAGTTTCTTTAGTTTTAAAGAAGTGTGTGTGTGTGTGTGTGTGTTTCATGGCATCTCTAACCTGTGTCTCCCCAGCCTGTGATGTAGCAGTTGGCAATGCCCTTTGGCACTCTTTCCCTCCGCATTGGCAGGCAGGCGGGCAGCACGGAGCGGCTCAGTGTGACGCAGTGGCCCGTGACACCCCGGTGAGCTCTGTGGCCAGACACGCGCACCAGTGCCAGGTCGTAGTCATTGCTGTCAGCGCGGTAGCGCGGGTGAAGGACGATCTTCTCCACGCCATACTCTTCCTCATACTCCTCAGGAACCAAAGAGTGATAATCACCCACACGAACCTTATACAGCCCAGTGCTGTTACCGTACCTAAGAAAGAGCACATACCAGACCCATAACTAAACCTCAGGCTAGTGACTGTCAGGTATATTGGTAAGACCTCACTAACTGCCCAATAACCATGACTAGTTTTTAACAGATGGTGATTAACAGAACTGTTTGATTAACTAGGTGATTAACAGAACTGTTTTTATGCACAATATATTGTTACCATATTTGTTATCAACTGATATTAAGAGGTTATTTTTTATTTAAGGTGGATACTGGATATACACTAAAAAGTTTGTGGTCGTAAGATTTAAAAAAGAAAAAGAAAAAGAAAAAAAATTAATACTGTTATTCAGCAAGAATGCATTAAATTCATCAAAAGTGACAAGCATTTGCCATTTTCTATTTCAAATAAATGCTTTTCTTTTTAACTTTCTATTCAACGACTCTTAAGAAAATGTATTACAGTTTCTACAAAAAATATTAACCAGAAGAAAAGTTTCTTTAGCACCAAATCAGTATATTTGAATGATTTCTAATGTATCATGTGACACTGAAGACTAATATTAATGCAGAAAATTCAGCCTTTCCACCACAGGAATATATATACAGTGGGTACGGAAAGTATTCAGACCCCCTTAAATTTGTCACTCTTTGTTATATTGCAGCCATTTGCTAAAATCATTTAAGTTAATTTTTTTTCCTCAGTAATGTACACACAGCACCCCATATTGACAGACATTTTTGCAGATTTATTAAAAAAGAAAAACTGAAATATCACATGGTCCTAAGTATTCAGACCTTTGCTGTGACACTCATATATTTAACTCAGGTGCTGTCCATTTCTTCTGATCATCCTTGAGATGGTTCTACACCTTCATTTGAGTCCAGCTGTGTTTGATTATACTGATTGGACTTGATTAGGAAAGCCACACACCTGTCTATATAAGACCTTACAGCTCACAGTGCATGTCAGAGCACGAATCTCGTGGATTACAATTTGCAACTAGACGGATGTACGGTTACTTCCTCTACAGTCAAAAATCTGGGTGTTATATTAGATAGCAACTTGTCTTTTGAAAATCATATTTCCCATGTTACAAAAACAGCATTCTTCCATCTTAGAAACATTGCCAAGTTACGAAACATGATACCTGTTTCTGATGCAGAAAAGCTAGTTCATGCATTCATGACCTCTAGACTGGACTATTGTAATGCACTGCTAGGTGGTTGTCCTGCATCTTCAATAAACAAGCTACAGGTAGTCCAAAATGCAGCGGCTAGAGTCCTTACCAGGTCAAGAAAATATGATCATATTACGCCAATTTTACAGTCTCTGCACTGGCTACCTATTAAGTTCCGTATCAGTTACAAAATATTATTACTTGCCTATAAGGCCCTTAATGGGTTAGCTCCTGTGTACCTAACTAGTCTTCTACCACGCTACAATCCATCACGCTCCCTAAGATCGCAAAATTCTGGACTTTTGGTAGTACCTAGGATATCAAAGTCAACTAAAGGAGGTAGAGCTTTTTCGCATTTGGCTCCTAAACTCTGGAATAGCCTTCCTGATAACGTTCGGGGTTCAGGCACTCTCTCTCTGTTTAAATCTAGATTAAAGACACATCTCTTCGGCCAAGCATTCAAATAATGCATCTCATAATCTCGTACTGCAGTTACAGTGGGTACGGAAAGTATTCAGACCCCTTTAAATTTTTCACTCTTTGTTATATTGTAGCCATTTGCTAAAATCATTTAAGTTTATTTTTTTTCCTCATTAATGTACACACAGCACCCCATATTGACAGAAAACCACAGAATTGTTGACATTTTTGCAGGTTTATTAAAAAAGAAAAACTGAAATATCACATGGTCCTAAGTATTCAGACCTTTGCTGTGACACTCATATATTTAACTCAGGTGCTGTCCATTTCTTCTGATCATCCTTGAGATGGTTCTACACCTTCATTTGAGTCCAGCTGTGTTTGATAATACTGATTGGACTTGATTAGGAAAGCCACACACCTGTCTATATAAGACCTTACAGCTCACAGTGCATGTCAGAGCAAATTAGAATCATGAGGTCAAAGGAACTGCCTGAAGAGCTCAGAGACAGAATTGTGGCAAGGCACAGATCTGGCCAAGGTTACAAAAAAATTTCTGCTGCACTTAAGGTTCCTAAGAGCACAGTGGCCTCCATAATCCTTAAATGGAAGACGTTTGGGATGACCAGAACCCTTCCTAGAGCTGGCCGTCCGGCCAAACTGAGCTATCGGGGGAGAAGAGCCTTGGTGAGAGAGGTAAAGAAGAACCCAAAGATCACTGTGGCTGAGCTCCAGAGATGCAGTCGGGAGATGGGAGAAAGTTGTAGAACGTCAACCATCATTGCAGCCCTCCACCAGGTCTCCTCAGTGCAAGACACATGAAAAAACACCTGAAGGACTCCAAGATGGTGAGAAATAAGATTCTCTGGTCGGATGAGACCAAGATAGAACTTTTTGGCCTTAATTCTAAGCGGTATGCGTGGAGAAAACCAGGCACTGCTCATCACCTGTCCAATACAGTCCCAACAGTGAAGCATGGTGGTGGCAGCATCATGCTGTGGGGGTGTTTTTCAGCTGCAGGGACAAGACGACTGGTTGCAATCGAGGGAAAGATGAATGCGGCCAAGTACAGGGATATCCTAGACGAAAAAACCTTCTCCAGAGTGCTCAGGACCTCAGACTGGGCCAAAGGTTTACCTTCCAACAAGACAATGACCATAAGCACACAGCTAAAATAACGAAGGAATGGCTTCACAACAACTCTGTGACTGTTCTTGAATAGCCCAGCCAGAGCCCTGACTTAAACCCAATTGAGCATCTCTGGAGAGACCTAAAAATGGCTGTCCACCAACATTTACCATCCAACCTGACAGAACTGGAGAGGATCTGCAAGGAGGAATGCCAGAGGATCCCCAAATCCAGGTGTGAAAAACTTGTTGCATCTTTCCCAAAAAAACTCATGGCTGTATTAGATCAAAAGGATGCTTCTACTAAATACTGAGCAAAGGGTCTGAATACTTAAGACCATGTGATAGTTCAGTTTTTCTTTTTTAATAAATCTGCAAAAATGTCAACAATGCTGTGTTTTTCTGTCAATATGGGGTGCTGTGTGTACATTAATGAGGAAAAAAAATGAACTTAAATGATTTTAGCAAATGGCTGCAATATAACAAAGAGTGAAAAATTTAAGGGGGTCTGGATACTTTCTGTACCCACTGTATATAATTTCAAAATATATTGAAATAGAAAACAATTATTTTAAATTGTTGTAATATTTCACAATATATTTTACTGCATTGTTTTTTTTCATAAATGCAACTTTGCTGAGCATATAAAACTGGAAAAGCATTTGAAAATCTTATGGACCCCCAACTTTTGAACTGTAGTGTATATCAGACAATAATAGATATTTGTGCAAGCTTATTCACTATTTGAGTTTTATCTAGATTTGATCTATTTTATCTAGATTACCTTTGCCATCATCTAACGCTCACTTAAAGTTAAAAACATTAATAACACTGTTTAATGTATTTTTCAAATCTTAAAATGAGTATCTGTTTTCAAACTGTGAATTTTGTAACTGTGACAATTGTGAAAATTCACTTGTAGCATTTAAAATGACTGATTTTGGGGTTTAGTGTTTTAATTTTCATTTAAGCAAAATAGCATAGGCCATTAACATTGTAATAAAGCAATAAAATAAACGAGAGAGAGGGCATACAAACAGAACACATTCAGCAAGACTGAATGCAACTGAACCAAACACAGTGAATTTATTTTCAGACATGGATAAGGGACACAGCACAGCAGCGTAACACATTATCAGAAGATGATTTATGACTTCTCGATATGCCACTCACAAACGCCCTCACATGACAAATCAGGTCCCTTCCTCAGGAAGTTCATGTCAGCCTATCTTATGGACCCAAAGCCGAACCATGTGCACTCACACACACAAACACACGCTTACAAAAGCACACTCACAGTCAGTTGGTGACAACAGATATACAGGAAGTTTTCTTTCTTCATAAACCCAACACCATGACATCACACCCACAAAGGTCTTCGCATGAAAGGGAAAGTCTCCAGTGCTTGCCCGTCTTTAATACTGTAAGCTTTCTTTACTGGTGAGACTGACACATCTCTTCAAAGAAAGTTTTCAAACTAGGGTCTGAAGACCCCAAAGGAGCTACAAGAGGACCAATAGAAACATTAAAGGGGTCATATGATGCTATTTTAAAGATCATTATTTTGTGTATTTGGTGTAACAGAATATGTTGACATGCTTTAATGTTCAAAAAACACATTATTTTTCAAATACTTTGAAATAGTTTTACCATCAGTTCAAGTCCGAAAGGGCAAGAGTCTCGTGACAGACACAGTGATGATGCAGTACACAAGCCGTGGTTAAGACAGCTGACGTGCTATGATTTCTGACAGACAGTTCACTCTCCTGTGATGTGATTTAAAACAAAAATTTATTTTTTGTTATAAATAAATCTTAACCAATGATTCCTAATTTCATCTACTTCCGGAAGGCCAAATAAAGTGCTTTTGCTTTCGCACTGAAACACACAGCGTCTCCCTGACATGCTGCTTCAACACTAACTGCGGTTACTGAAACCATGCCTTCTTTCTTTGCGTGAACATTTGGGCGGCATTATGCTAATATTTCCACATAGTGAGGTAGATATGTGGGGGCGTGTTAGAACGAGGCGTTTTAGGTAGGCGTGGCTGACTCTTAACTTTTATAAGGAATATCTCTTTGGATTTGAGACTTTAGTCTTTGCAACTTTACAGATCTTGTTTATGCACCAAGAGCTTGTAACACTCCAAAGAGAAAGGAAAACTTGAAATCGCATCATATGACCCCTTTAAAAAAGGGGGGGGGGGATTAAAGTATACTGTATATTATCATATAATAAATTACATAAATTATATAATAAATTTCATATAAATAATATATATTTAAATATATAAATAAATAAAAGTACAAAA